CAATTTTAAGCTTCCTGGGCCTTTTTTGCAAGATTTAAACAGGGTTTCTTAGGGTTAGTTTGGAGTCAAATTTCACCCCAAGGATATAAACTTCTTCTCCAGGTGCCACACCTCCCATTATCCTTACTACTGCACCAGCATTACCATCATGGTGCCTAGAGACGATCATCATTTGCGTTTTCTCAGGTGCAAATGTTACTTGCCATCTATTTCCCCAAGCTGATATAGCTCTCAGCTGGTGATTGATGTAGCTTAGAGCAGCTGGCATTTCTTCTCTTGGATAAGTGAATGTCAGTGTACAGTCGTCTGGATATGCATGTGATTCTGGGATGAGATGAAGAAGGTCGTTGAAGTAGACATTCCATAACAATGGACCCAGCACGCTTCCTTGTGGAACACTTGCCCCAATAGGATGTCTTGCTGGTTCTGTGCGACTGATGAAACCAGAGGGAATTAACAAAATACAGAGACTATATTTTGATGCAAAAAGACAGTGATAACTGAAAATCATGAAATCAGAGGTTAATGAAAACAGAGGGTCCACTGTATTTACCTCATTCTTTTTAATTGCACAAAGTGGCGCTTCAGTGCGGCCGCAGGCTATCTCTTGTCTAATATTTCTATTTTCCTCGTTAACTCTAAGACATAAACGCTTATACCTTTTCTTGCCACTTTCAGCAACACTGGTATGCCTACTGGGTGCCATGATTGCTTGGCTGATACAAGATATAGTAATTAAAAGATCAAAACACAATTCACAAACACGGCTTGTCACGAAGCCTGGGATGGTGGTGGCGGCAGGAGTGTTGGGGGTGGCAGGGGATGGCGGGAGGTCTCCCCTGCTGACCCACAACAAGGCGGCAGGTTGAACTAGAGAAATTTTTTCCACGCCCACAAACGGAACTGTGTAAAGTTAATTTTACGAAGTGTTGTATAAAATTGTGCCTCATTTTTTCAAAAGTGCAATAACCAAAACACGGCAAATAAACCCGTGTAATATAATGGTCTACTATAAATTAATTTGTTTTGTAATGTAATGATCATTATTTATTTCATCAGTATTATTCATAATAAATTGTATTCTGGTATATCAGTCTAAATTATTGTGTTTTGGCAGGTATGTGGGCTCACCGAATGGCTGTAGGGGATTATCAAGATCTGATTGACCGGGGTTGGCGACGTAGTGGTAAATACTGCTATAAACCAACTATGGACAGGACTTGTTGCCCTATGTACACCATAAAGTAAGCATTTACCAATACTCAGGTCTCTGCAATAAATTGACACCTGTGAATTTGTTACAATGTAAATCTCCATTAACAATTAAACTGGGCATTGACGATGCAGATGGTGACAGGGTGGTAGCTGTGAGCATCTTTGGTTTGGTTAATTTTTTTAAATAAACATTTTTTGTTTCTATAGGATTATAGATCATCAAAACTTCGATATTAATGCTGAAGGAAAAATATCAATACATTGCCTTTTTAGAGTGTGATAAAAATGCAGTATTATTTGGGAATGGGAAAGCCAAGGTTATGGACAAAGTCAAGGCTATGGACAAGGATTAACACAAAATAGGGACTGTGAAAAAAAAAAATGTAAATTTTTGAAGTGAAATGCTCTTCAGTAAAAACTGTACAGTTTAATCAAATCCTGAAAATTATAATGCTCGTGAATTTGGGAATTCAGCCACAATTGAGCACCTCTGTTCTTTGGAAAAAAATCCAAAATTCTAGATACTTCAAATTCTTATCTTGAATATTTGCTTTTATTCACAAAATGTTGAATTTTGAAATAATTTCCAAATTAATATTGTGTTCTGAATTTGGAAGAATTCTGAATTATAGTGTGCTGTAGCATCAGTCATGGCGCAAGAAAGATGAATCACAGATGTTCATAAACAGATTCATTGTGAACAGTTATTAAACACTGGAGTAAACTGCTATTCAGTTCTGTAACTGAAAATACTGTACAGAAAGAAACCTTTAGACTGTTAGATAGTTTGAGATTAATTTTTAACTAAATGAATTTTCTCTGTGTATCAGTAAGATTCTTCACCGTCTTTCCCCTCCTGCCTTTCTTATCTAGAATGATTTTTTTTTTTTAGCCTTAAAAGCTGTCCTCTGCCAAGGTAGGCTAACCCAGAGAAGGAAACAAACTCACCATTACTCATTCAGTCAGTGTCTTACCATAAATGTGCTAACATCACAGTTTAGATTACCCTTCATCTGCAACATCCCCACTTCTCCTTCAGAGTACAGAGATACACTATTATTCTGTGATGTAATGCACATAATTATATTAAATAAATATTATTTAATAAGCAGAATAATAATACTTTTTCCTTGGGCATGTTTGTTTTCTCAGATGTGACACATTGGAATTCAAGCTAAGCAAGTCTCAGAAAAAGATTCTCAAACGTATTCACCGATATTTAAGTCATGGGGCTGCAAAAGAGGAGAAAGTTTTTGGAAATGGTAAGTGTTGTAGACATTAGTACTGATAATGATAGTACGTACAGTGATACCCCGGGTTACGAACCTAATTCTTTCCAGAAGGCTGTTTGAGTGCCAATACCGAATGAATTTGTTCCCATAAGGAATAATGTAAATTAGATTAGTCCATTTCAGACCCCCAAAAATACACTTACCAAAGCACTTGCAAAAATACACTTACATAATTGTTCGAACTGGGAGCTGTTCGAAACTCAAGGTACCGCTGTAATAACAAATTTTTTATATAGCAGTGGAAGTGGAACAGAATTCCTCCATAAGCCATGTGTGTCGTAAGAGGCGACTAAGTATCTAGAAACAGTGGTAATGGTATGAAATTATTCATCAGACATTTCTGTACCCTCAATAATAAAATTTCATTAAATATCAGAAACTACCTACAAAATATATTATTTTCTAAGGTAGTGAGGACATGCTTACATATACTGTATTTAACATTCTTTTAATTTAACTGAATAGGGCCAGGGGTGCTATGGATTAGGTAATTTTGCATTGAATGAATTTTGGCTGAATTTTACCATTTTGTACCACAAAAAATATCTCGACTGAAGCAATTGGAGATGATGAGATGGCTAATGTTGGGTTGTGCAAGAAGTTTTGTGCAGAATAGAGCACTTCACATTGTACTGTAAAAGGCATTCATCTATAAAATTGAAGGTGAAGATATAATTCATAATAGGGGTGATGCATATTAGGGATATGTTTTAGGGGAAATGCAACAAAGTGAGCTTGTGAAAATTCCAGGAGAAAAAGATAATTTTTAGGATTGCTGTAATTTCTGACATGACAGAAAAGAGCATTTAAAGTTAGAAAGGTAGAGGCAGGATTAGAATAAATGTCTGAAATGTTAATGGTAGGAAATATTGTTTTGCTTGTTCTGAAGATTGTAAAATGTTGACTTTAACAAAATGTAAATTTCAAATCTAAGGGATGGTGTATGATACAGTTATTGTTAATCATCCATTATCTGGCATCCCCCCATCAGAAGGTAGGGTGACCTAGATTTTCACCCACAATGGATGATTATGTCATCTCTTTATGATCTGTTTCTTGTTGCACATTAATTTTAACATTGTTTAAAGACCAGATCAAACAAAACCACTGGATAATACTACCTTCCAAATGACCAATTACTGGATAATTAATCATCTATATTAAAATTCTGTAAATTCAAAACACAGTGAAGACAAAGTGCAAGTGTCTTCATTGAAATTATTTTAGGGGAGAAAGGGAGTTCATTTAGTATGAGAGTAGACTGAATTTCTGAAACTAAGAGGGACAATAGAGAAAACCTATGAAGAAAAATATTTGAGTATTAAGCAAGTTAGGTTTACAGAAATAGAAATTATAGGTATAGAGGAAGAGAAAACCAAGAACAGTTATGTTTTACTTATTGTGCATTGTAGGAGAAGTAATGAATGGATTTTCCAGTGTGTATAAACTTGAAGTAATTATAAGAGAAGACACTCGGGGAGCACTGCACATAAACATTAAGGAAAGATAATACAGTAAGGAGTTAGGTATCCACTCATTCAGTATTGATACCTTTTAACAGGGGCATATCTACAGAAAATAGCACCTATGGCAACCACTGGAATTGCAACCCCATCCAAACATCTGACACCTATCTTTTAGATAAATGTTCCATAAAATCAGCTCAAAAATACAATGAAGCTTGTTAAACTTTTAATTAGTTATTATGGCACTACATGAAAATTACAGCTGCAGCTTCCTTGCTTTTTCTGATGCAAATCAGTCTTTAATATGCTCAAATTCAGTTTTGTCAGTTTCTTCTCTTTCTACACTCAGCAGAGCAAGATCACAGTCTGTCTTGACCCATAGATGCTCTCTTAGTTTTAACTTGCTGAATGATCTCTCACAGCTGCCGATGGAAACTGCAATGGTTAGCATTATATGAATAGCAGTGTGAAGATTGGGGAAGATGCTCTCATCTCTGTACTGAACAATAAGTTTGAGAAGCTCTTCAGGTCTTCATATTTTCATGTTGACCCAACTTGATAGCAACATTCTGCAATCCAAAATTTCTTCATATAGCTGCTGTCCATCACCATCAGAGCTGTACAATTAACAGTCTAGCCATCCTAGTGCTTCTCATCCATGATAATCGAAGACAGATCATGCATCTGAAGAATTTTTTTTTTTACTATCTGAGGATAGTGAAAAAAAATGCTCAGTAGCATCCCTCTTCAAGTGGCACCCAGGGCACATGCCATACCTGCCATACCTTAGGTATGCTATTGCCCTTTAGTGCCTGCATTCCATTACCCCAAACTGCCTTATTCTCATTTTTAGTATTTTGATGTTTCATCAGTAGTGTATCACGACTATTTGACAGTAATTAATTTGCATTCCTTTCAGACAGCTCGGAAAGTATGCAAGGAAATCCAGAATATGTAATTCCGAAGTTTGAAGCCAGTCAAGAACTTTCCTCGGTGTCTCTATGTACAAATGTTGTGAACATGAGAAAGAGTGAGTATATACCTACCAAGATGTTGAAAAATTTCCTTCAAGGTGATCATGTGATGCACCATATTCCTAGACTTTGAAACAGAATTTGGAGTGATATATGGATAGAAATGACTTTCATGCAGTACTATTTGTATTTGAAATATATATGGGATATTGGCAGTTTGGAGGGATATGTTGTGTATCTTTATATGTGTATGCTTCTAAACTGTTGTATTCTGAGCACCTCTGCAAAAACAGTGATAATGTGCGAGTGTGGTGAAAGTGTTGAATGATGATGAAAGTATTTTCTTTTTGGGGATTTTCTTTCTTTTTTGGGTCACCCTGCCTCGGTGGGAGACGGCCGACTTGTTGAAAAAAAAAAAAAAAAAAAAATTATTGCATGTTTATAGAGGGACAACTGATATATCAGATCATTATTTAGTTGTAGCTACAGTTAGAGTAAGAGGTAGATGGGACAAAAGGAAACTGGCAGCAGCAAGAAGAGAAAGGTGAAAGTGTATAAACTAAGGGAGGAGGAAGTTAGAGTGAGATATAAGCAACTATTGGCAGAGGGTGGACTAATGCAGGTATGAGTGGTGGGGGGTTGAAGAGGGTTGGAATAGTTTTAAAAATGCAGTATTATAATGTTTGTGGCTATAGGAGGGTGGGTGCAGAAGGAAAGAGGAGTGATTGGTGGAATGATAAAGTAAAGGGCGTGATAAAAGAGAAAAAGGTAGCGTATGAGAGGTTTTTACAAAGCAGAAGTGTTATAAAAAGAGCAGAGTATATAGAGAGTAAAAGAAAGGTGAAGAGAGTGGTGAGAGAGTGCAAAAGGAGAGCAGATGATAGAGTGGGAGAGGCACTGTCAAGAAATATTGATGAAAATAAGAAAAAAATTCAGAGATAAATAAGTTAAGAAAGCCTAGGGAATGAATGGATTTGTCAGTTAAAAACAGAGTAGGGGAGTAGTAGATGGGGAGCTGGAGGTATTGGGTAGATGGCAGGAATATTTTGAGGAACTTTTAAATGTCGATGAAGAAAGGGAAGCGGTAATTTCATGCACTGGCCAGGGCGGTATAACATCTTTTAGGAGTGAAGAAGAGCAGGATGTGAGTGTGGGGGAGGTGCATGAGGCATTACATAGAATGAAAAGGGGTAAAGCAGCTGGAGCTGATGGGATCATGACAAAAATGTTAAAAGCAGGGGGGTATATAGTGTTGTAGTGGTTGGTATTTTTGTTTCATAACTGTATGAAAGAGAGGAAGGTACCTAGGGATTGCCAGAGAGCATGTATAGTTCAGTTCCTTTATATAAAAGGAAGGGGGACAAAAGAGATTGTAAAAATTATAGGGGAAGAAGTTTACTGAGTATACCAGGAAAAGTGCACGGTAGGGTTATTATTGAAAGAATTAGAGGTAAGACAGAGAGTAGATTTGTAGATGAGCAAGGAGGCTTTAGACTGGGTAGGGGATGTATAGATCAAGTGTTTACATTGAAGCATATATGTGAACAGGATTTAGGTAAAGGTAGGGAAGTTTTCATTGTATTTATGGATTTAGAAAAGGCATATGATAGAGTGGATAGGGGAGCAATATGGCAGAAGTTGCAGGTATATGGAATAGGTGGTAAGTTACTAAATGCTGTAAAGAGTTTTTATGAGGATAGTGAGGCTCAGGTTAGGGTGTGTAGAAGAGAGGGAGATTACTTCCCGGTAAAAGTAGGTCTTAGACAGGGATGTGTAATGTCACCATGGTTGTTTAATATATTTATAGATGGGGTTGTAAAAGAAGTAAATGCCATACATCCATATGGCAAATGCATCTTCCGTATCGGTTGGTACAGTGGATGTGTACCTGATGGTCACTGAATGACGAGGTCAATCACGAACCATGAGGCTATATTTGCCAAAAGTCGGATTTCACAAAAGTCTTTACCGCCGAACAGCGGGGCTTCACTGTATTTACATTAGTTCTTATGGGAATAATTATTTTGGTTATCGGCCATTTCGGTTTTAGGCTGGCCTTCTGGAATGGATTACAGCTGATAACCGAGGGTCCACTGTATTATTATTAACCCTTTGATGGTCAAGAGGCCCTCTCCCAAACTTGTTCTCAGGGTCGAAAATTTTTTGAAATAAAAAAAAATTATTTTTTCTTATGAAATAATAGAGAATCTTTTTTCGATCATAATAACACCAAAAGTATGAAATTTGATGAAAAACTTATGGAATTATGTTCTCGCAAAGTTAGAGGTCTCAAAGTTGGTGATTTCACCCACTTTGAGCCCTATTTTCGGCCAATTCCAATGTTGCAGTTGACTAAAATCATAGCTATTTCCCTAGAACTCCATTTGTTCTATTGATTGAGTACAAGAATCAGCCCATTTACCAATTTCAACTACCCAATAAAGTGGTCAGAATTTGGCAATTTGGGCAATTTCACACAAATTTCTGAAGATGCCAATTTCAAAATAGGGTACAGAAACAACACACACATTCACGACACTAAAATAATGTTTTATCTGTTCATTAGTCACGTCTCTAGGCCCCTCTTACATTACTTTTGCTTTCCATTTTGAATTTTTATTCTCACAGAAAATAGAAAGTTTTCTGTTATATATACTACTGCATCATTGTAAAAACGGTATAAATGATATCAGCGCACTTGTGAAAGAATATTAGACTCACCAATTGATGTGTATTGGATGCTTGGTTTGATTTGTTTACTCTTGAACATCGGCAAAAACCGATCATTTTTGCTAATTTGAGCTCAATTTTAAGGTACTTGTCATCGTGAAACTAATCAGAATCATCTCTAATTATGTAATAGATCTTCCGTTTTGTCAAATGAAACTGAGGAAATAAGAATACACGTACAACCATAAATACCATACAAAAATTCACTAGAAAGTCGCTGTTTTAAACCAAAAACACAAAGTTTTTTTTTTCTCGTTATGCATAGCGTGCTTCAGGATTTTTTTTTATACTGCGCACACTGACCACATAGACCCATTCTTTCATATGTAGGCCTGCCAGCTTTCTTCTACCAAATTTGAAGGCGCTAGAATTTAAACGTACAAGTATGTGACCGACCCTGGCTGCAATGACATACTTGTACGTGACTGACCCTCAAGAGTTAATGTGGCATCAAGAGTAGAGGCAAAATGCTTTACGGCAAAAAGCCGTAAAGTGGGGCCCTACTGTATTCAGAAATAGGAGGATTGCTGAGGTGGTTTGGGTATTGAGAGAGATTGGAGCATTATAAGATGAAAAGAGGGTATATATTGATCTGGGGGTGGAAGGAAGAAGGTATAGGGTTCATTCTAGGTAGTGTAGAAGTGAGGGGGCAAAGGACGCTTTGAATGCTAGGGGCTTGAACATTCAATAGGTTTGTGTGAGCATGTTTGATCAGAGTGAATGGAGACAAGTAGTTTTTATGACTTGCTGTTACATTGGAATGGGAGCAAGGTAACATTTATGATGGGATTCAGGGAAAATCAGTTAACTGGACTCGAGTCCTGGAGGTGAGAAGTACAGTACAATGCATGCATTCTAAAGGAGGAGGGAGGATGTTGCATTTTGGAGAGTCATCTGAACTGTGACGTCAGCATGCTTCTGGGAAGGCAGTGATTGAATGAATGATGGTGAAAGTGTTTCTTCTTTTTTTTTGGGGGGGGGGGGAGGATTACCCTACCTTGGTAAAGGTGCAAAGGATATAATTAGAGCATATGTGTGTATATCTAATTTTTCAAATTTTTTTTTAGATCTGGAATCATCTGCAACAGAAGAAAAAGAAAGCAGCCTTAACAGTAATAAAGAATATTTAACTCCAGGGACAGAGAAGGATACTAATTTATGTAAGGCAAGTGTAGAAAGTGCCAGTCAAGACTTCATTGGGGAAAGCCCTATCTTGAAGCCTAAGAAACTAGCAACAACAGGTGTGTTTTAAGTGATGACTTTGTCAGCTGGTGTAAACACAGCTGAGGTTTGATAAGGGTTAATGATTTTTTTAAGTTATTACACCACTGCTTTTCCAAGATATTAAAACAAAAATCAATTTCTTTTTCTTTTAGCATTTCTTAAGTTGTCATGCATTAATACTTCAGCACTTTAACCCTTTGACTGTCACAGGCCCCTTTCTGAAACTCATTCTATGTTGATAAATTTTTTGGGAAAAAAAAAATTATTTTTTCTTATGAAATGATAGAGAATCTTTTCTCAATGGTAATGACACCAAAAGTACGAAATTTGGTCGAAAACTCACGGAATTACACTCCCGCGAAGTTAGCGGTCTCAGCGACATATACGCATCGGCAATTTCACCGACTTTGAGCCCTGTTTTTGGCTAATTCCATTGTTCCAGTTGACCAAACTCATAGCTATTTCTTTAGAACTCCATTTTTTTTCTATCTGTTGAGTACAAGAAACTGCTCATTTACTGATTTGAACTACCCAATAAAGTGGTCAGAAATTGGCAATTTGGTCAATTTCACTCAAATTAAAAAAATTGCCAATTTCAAAATAGGGTCCAGAATAAACAATGCAGACATTCTTGGCACTAAAATAACATATCCTCTGTTCATTAGTCATGTCTCTAGGCCCCTCTTAAATTACTATTGCTTTCTGTTTTGATTTTTTATTCGTACAAAAAAATACAAAATTTACTGTTATGGAGACTACTGCATTATTGTAAAAATGGTATAAATAACATCAGTGCACTAGTGAAAGAATATTAGGCTCCCCAGTTGAAGTGTATTGGACGTGTGGTGTGATTTGCTTACTCCTGAACATTGGTAAAAATCGAACATTTCCGCTACTTCGAGCTCATTTTCAAGGTCGTTTTCATCGTGAAGGTAATCAAAATCATCTCTATTTCTGTAATATGCTTTCTATTTTATCACCTGAGACCATGAAAACAAGAATACAACGATAAGTACTATACAAAAATACACCTCAAATTCTGCGTTTTACTCCAAAAAAAACGGTCAGTTTTTTTTTTTTCTCATTACGCACTGTGTGCTGCAGGATTTTTTTTATGTGGTGCACACTGACCACACAGACCCATTCTCTCACATGTGGGCCTACCAGCTTTCTCCCGCTTGATTTGAAGCCGCTAGAATTTTATTTTATTTTATTATCACACTGGCCGATTCCCACCAAGACAGGGTGGCCCGAAAAAGAAAAACTTTCACCATCATTCACTCCATCACTGTCTTGCCAGAAGGGTGCTTTACACTACAGTTTTTAAACTGCAACATTAACACCCCTCCTTCAGAGTGCAGGCACTGTACTTCCCATCTCCAGGACTCGGGTCCGGCCTGCCGGTTTCCCTGAACCCCTTCATAAATGTTACTTTGCTCACACTCCAACAGCACGTCAAGTATTAAAAACCATTTGTCTCCATTCACTCCTGTCAAACAGGCTCATGCATACCTGCTGGAAGTCCAAGCCCCTCGCACACAAAACCTCCTTTACCCCCTCTCTCCAACCTTTTCTAGGCCGACCCCTACCCCGCCTTCCTTCCACTACAGACTGATACACTCTTGAAGTCATTCTGTTTCGCTCCATTCTCTCTACATGTCCGAACCACCTCAACAACCCTTCCTCAGCCCTCTGGACAACAGTTTTGGTAATCCCGCACCTCCTCCTAACTTCCAAACTACGAATTCTCTGGATTATATTCACACCACACATTGCCCTCAGACATGACATCTCCACTGCCTCCAGCCTTCTCCTCGCTGCAACATTCGTCACCCATGCTTCACACCCATATAAGAGCGTTGGTAAAACTATACTCTCATACATTCCCCTCTTTGCCTCCAAGGACAAAGTTCTTTGTCTCCACAGACTCCTAAGTGCACCACTCACTCTTTTTCCCTCATCAATTCTATGATTCACCTCATCTTTCATAGACCCATCCGCTGACACGTCCACTCCCAAATATCTGAATACATTCACCTCCTCCATACTCTCTCCCTCCAATCTGATATTCAATCTTTCATCACCTAATCTTTTTGTTATCCTCATAACCTTACTCTTTCCTGTATTCACCTTTAATTTTCTTCTTTTGCACACCCTACCAAATTCATCCACCAATCTCTGCAACTTCTCTTCAGAATCTCCCAAGAGCACAGTGTCATCATCAAAGAGCAGCTGTGACAACTCCCACTTTGTGTGTGATTCTTTATCTTTTAACTCCACGCCTCTTGTCAAGACCCTCGCATTTACTTCTCTTACAACCCCATCTATAAATATATTAAACAACCACGGTGACATCACACATCCTTGTCTAAGGCCTACTTTTACTGGGAAATAATTTCCCTCTTTCCTACATACTCTAACTTAAGCCTCACTATCCTCGTAAAAACTCTTCACTGCTTTCAGTAACCTACCTCCTACACCATACACTTGCAACATCTGCCACATTGCCCCCCTATCCACCCTGTCATACGCCTTTTCCAAATCCATAAATGCCACAAAGACCTCTTTAACCTTATCTAAATACTGTTCACTTATATGTTTCACTGTAAACACCTGGTCCACACACCCCCTACCTTTCCTAAAGCCTCCTTGTTCATCTGCTATCCTATTCTCCGTCTTACTCTTAATTCTTTCAATAATAACTCTACCATACACTTTACCAGGTATACTCAGCAGACTTATCCCCCTATAATTTTTGCACTCTCTTTTATCCACTTTGCCTTTATACAAAGGAACTATGCATGCTCTCTGCCAATCCCTAGGTACCTTACCCTCTTCCATACATTTATTAAATAATTGCACCAACCACTCCAAAACAATATCCCCACCTGCTTTTAACATTTCTATCTTTATCCCATCAATCCCGGCTGCCTTACCCCTTTCATTTTACCTACTGCCTCACGAACTTCCCCCACACTCACAACTGGCTCTTCCTCACTCCTACAAGATGTTATTCCTCCTTGCCCTATACACGAAATCACAGCTTCCCTATCTTCATCAACATTTAACAATTCCTCAAAATATTCCCTCCATCTTCCCAATACCTCTAACTCTCCATTTAATAACTCTCCTCTCCTATTTTTAACTGACAAATCCATTTGTTCTCTAGGCTTTCTTAACTTGTTAATCTCACTCCAAAACTTTTTCTTATTTTCAACAAAATTTGTTGATAACATCTCACCCACTCTCTCATTTGCTCTCTTTTTACATTGCTTCACCACTCTCTTAACCTCTCTCTTTTTCTCCATATACTCTTCCCTCCTTGCATCACTTCTACTTTGTAAAAACTTCTCATATGCTAACTTTTTCTCCCTTCTACTCTCTTTACATCATCATTCCACCAATCGCTCCTCTTCCCTCCCGCACCCACTTTCCTGTAACCACAAACTTCTGCTGAACACTCTAACACTACATTTTTAAACCTACCCCATACCTCTTCGACCCCATTGCCTATGCTCTCATTAGCCCATCTATCCTCCAATAGCTGTTTATATCTTACCCTAACTGCCTCCTCTTTTAGTTTATAAACCTTCACCTCTCTCTTCCCTGATGCTTCTATTCTCCTTGTATCCCATCTACCTTTTACTCTCAGTGTAGCTACAACTAGAAAGTGATCTGATATATCTGTGGCCCCTCTATAAACATGTACATCCTGAAGTCTACTCAACAGTCTTTTATCTACCAATACATAATCCAACAAACTACTTTCATTTCGCCCTACATCATATCTTGTATACTTACTTATCCTCTTTTTCTTAAAATATGTATTACCTATAACTAAACCCTTTCTATACAAAGTTCAATCAAAGGGCTCCCATTATCATTTACACCTGGCACCCCAAACTTACCTACCACACCCTCTCTAAAAGTTTCTCCTACTTTAGCATTCAGGTCCCCTACCACAATTACTCTCTCACTTGGTTCAAAGGCTCCTATACATTCACTTAACATCTCCCAAAATCTCTCTCTCTCCTCTACATTCCTCTCTTCTCCAGGTGCATACACGCTTATTATGACCCACTTCTCGCATCCAACCTTTACTTTAATCCACATAATTCTTGAATTTACACATTCATATTCTCTTTTCTCCTTCCATAACTGATCATTTAACATTACTGCTACCCCTTCCTTTGCTCTAACTCTCTCAGATACTCCAGATTTAATCCCATTTATTTCCCCCCACTGAAACTCTCCTACCCCCTTCAGCTTTGTTTCGCTTAGGGCCAGGACATCCAACTTCTTTTCATTCATAACATCAGCAATCATCTGTTTCTTGTCATCCGCACTACATCCACGCACATTTAAGCATCCCAGTTTTATAAAGTTTTTCTTCTTCTCTTTTTTAGTAAGTGTCTACAGGAGAAGGGGTTACTAGCCCATTGCTCCCGGCATTTTAGTCGCCTCATACGACACGCATGGCTTACGGAGGAAAGATTCTTTTCCACTTCCCCATGGACAATAGAAGAAATAAAGAAGAACAAGAGCTATTTAGAAAAAGGAGAAAAACCTAGATGTATGTATATATATATGCATGTGCGTGTCTGTGAAGTGTGACCAAAGTGTAAGTAGGAGTAGCAAGATATCCCTGTTATCTAGCGTGTTTATGAGACAGAAAAAGAAACCAGCAATCCTACCATCATGCAAAACAGTTACAGGTTTCTGTTTCACAGTCATCTGGCAGGACGGTAGTACTTCCGTGGGTGGTTGCTGTCTACCAACCTACTACCGCTAGAATTTACGCGTATAAATACGTCAGAAACAGTGGTGCGTAAGATGTATACAGTGGAACCTTGAAAATCGAACGTACCAAATATCGAACGTTTCGAAAATAAGACCATTTTTTCGGACAAACTGTGTACCAAAAATCGAACGCGTTTCAAATTTCGGACCACCGGGTACGGGACCTGTCTGCTGGCCCGCTCTGTCTGCGTCCCCGCGCAGGCGCCGTGAGCAGTCTAGCTTTCTTTATGCTTGAGTGAACACTAACCTGCACTCTCATTCACGCATTTTACGATTATTTCGTTGTGTTTAGTGCTTATGGGACTGTAAAATAAGCTGTTATGGGCCCAAAGAAACTTGCTAGTGGTACCCCTGTGGTAAAGAAAGTGAGAAACACCATAGATGTGAAGAAGGAAATAATACAGAAGTATGAGAGTGGTGTGAGACTTGTTGAGCTTGCCAGGATGTATGGGAAAAACAAATCGGTTCTATCCTGTTAAAGAAAGAACAAATCAAGGAAGCTGATGTTGCGAAAGGTGTTAATATAGGGACTGGATGAGGTGCCTTCTTCAAAGATTAAGGAGATTTGTGCCAAGTGGAATGATGTCCAAATGTTTGTGCAGAAGTACCACCCTGAGCAAGCTGAAACAAGCCATCTTTGCAACAAGTTCAGTGACAGAACCATGTCCCATTTTAGGGAAATGTTAAAGAGGTGCCAGAAACAGAGGACTGTGGACAGTTATTTTGTGAGACAGGGGTCCAGTGACTCTCAAGCTGGTCCTAGTGGCATTAAAAGACAGAATGAAAATGATTTCGTTCGGATTTTTAACCCCGGAGGATTAGCCACCCAGGATAACCCAAGAAAGTCAGTGCGTCATCGAGGACTGTCTAACTTATTTCCATTGGGGTCCTTAATCTTGTCCCCCAGGATGCGACCCACACCAGTCGACTAACACCCAGGTACCTATTTGCTGCTAGGTGAACAGGACAACAGGTGTAAGGAAACGTGTCGAAATGTTTCCACCCGCCGGGAATCGAACCCGGGCCCTCCGTGTGTGAAGCGGGAGCTTTAGCCACCAGGCCACCGGGCCTGGAAGTAACCCCAGAGAGGGCTTTACCTGAAGTCCTCATGGAGGGGGATTCTCCTTCCAAACACTAATCCCAACTCCCTCTCTCCTCCTCCCTATCTTCCAGATGCCATCACCAATCTTCAATAAAGGTAAGTAAAAATGTTATTTTATATTTTATATTATATGTACAGTGCCTGCACTCTGAAGGAGGGGTGTTAATGTTGCAGTTTAAAAACTGTAGTGTAAAGCACCCTTCTGGCAAGACAGTGATGGAGTGAATGATGGTGAAAGTTTTTCTTTTTCGGGCCACCCTGCCTTGGTGGGAATCGGCCAGTGTGATAATAAAAAAAAAATTATATGTATGTATTATTTTATATGTATGTTATTTTATATGTATGTAAAACTGTAATTAATCTCTATAAATGTATTTTTTGTGTGAATATTTTTGGGTTTCTGGAATGGATTAATTGTATTTCCATTATTTCTTATGGGAAATATTGATTCGAATTTCAGACTTTTCGAAATTAGAACTAGCTCCTGGAACGGATTAAGTTCGATTTTTGAGGTTCCACTGTATATACGACCGAAACAGTCAAAGGGTTAAATGAAGCTCATCAATTCATTTCCACATTGAAAAATTTTCTATCATATTTAAATTGTCATTGTAGTGCTGTTATTTAAGGCTGGTGAGGGACTCACCACATTGATCCATTCTCTTATGTCTAGGACAAAATTTTCCACTCAGCTTATTTGTGGGAGCCAAGCTCAAAACTTAGATCTGTGTGAGTGCCACGGGTGCCAATGACATAGATGTACATGAGAGATAGTGAGAGGGTTCAGCTTATCATCATCTTGCTGCAGCATTTAAAGCCCATGCCTCACACCCATATAAAACACATGGTAGTGCCTCTGTACCCTGGTACATTCCCCCATTTTGCTTCCATAGATCTATTTCTTACACAGACACTTTAACATACCACCTACCTTTTTCCCCCTTATTTCACTTATTCCATACACCCCCTTCCACTCTCCTCTCTCCCTTCAGCCAGTATTTTTTTATTGACTCGTTTTTGTTTGTTCATAATTTCTATACTTATTTTTGTCTGACATTCCTAGTGATGTGCACATAAATTTGTCTGTCTTTTATTTTCCTTTTTGGTGTCGGAAAAAAAAATTTAGTGGGCTTGATTGGACCTATAGTATTATGTACTCAGGAACTAATACAGTGGACCCCCGGTATTCGATGGCATCGGTATTCGATAAATCCGATATTCGATGCATTATATCGCAAAAAATTTTCCTTGGTATTTGATTGAAAACCCGGTATTCGATATGATTCGTACGAGACCTGTCCACATGTGGCCTGAACTGCCCCTTGTGTGCCAGTGTTTACAAGTCAGCCAGTGTGCGCGCATCTAAGGATACATTCGGTACATTCCATATTATCCATATTATCACTGTGTTTGGTGCTTGTTTCTACAAAATAAGTCACCATGGGCCCCAAGAAAGCTTCTAGTGCCAACCCTGTGGTAAAAAGGGTGAGAATTAGTATGGAAATTAAGAAAGATTTTGAAGGGTTTGGGGCTAACCCTGAGAAGCCTATACCGGTTGTGGAATACATTGTGCCTACTTCAAAAATTAAGGAAATGTGTGCACAGTGGGTTGAAGTGCAAACCTTTATGGATGAAAATCACCCTAACACAGCTATTACAATGACAATGTTGTGGCCCATTTTAGACAAATCGTAAAGGAACGGGAGGTACAGAGCTCTATGGACAGATTTGTTGTGCGACAGAGGTCCAGTGACTCTCAAGCTGGTCCTAGTGGCATTAAAAGAAGAAAGGAAGTAACCCTGGAAAAGGACTTGCTACCTCAAGTCCTAACGGAAGGGGATTCCCCTTCTAAACACTAACACCTCTCCCCTCCTTCCATCCCATCAATCATCACCAGATCTTCATTAAAGGTAAGTGTCAATTATTTTATTATTATTGTAATTATTCTATTGCATTAAACTTAATATTTCATGTAGTAAATTTTTTTTTTCATACTTTTGGGTGTCTTGCACGGATTAATTTGATTTTCATTATTTCCTATGAGGAAAATTGATTCGGTTTTCGATATTATCGGTATTCGATGAGCTCTCAGGAACAGATTAATATCGAATACCGGGGGTCCACTGTATTCTCTTTCTCATCTCTCTCAGTATTTCTCTCTCTCTCTCTCTCTCTCTTTTGCTTCTTATCTAATATATGATCACCTTTTGTTTCATGTATGTATATGTGTGTGTTTTTGTGTTTTGAGTGTTGTTTGTTTTTGTTTGTATTTTTATTTGTCAGTTTTGTTGTAATCTCACATATTAACTCTTAAACGGTCCAAACGTATATATACGTTCATGTGCGTATCGCCCCAAATGTATATATACGTTTTCTTTGTCATTCATTCAACACTGCCACGATAAGCCTGAGTCACCTAGACATGAGAGAATGAGTGTGTGCACTCACTGTGCACCATATTAAAATAATTGGGGATGCCTGGGTACCATATGCTCTTTTTTCCTATTAAAAAAAAAATTTTCCTATTAAAATTTTTTTTTTTTTTTAAATTTAGGGCGCTACGTGAGTGAACGTATATATATGTTTGGACTGTTTAGGGGTTAAATTTAAGATTTATTATGTAATTTTTTACAAGGTAAGACCTCAAAGTAAATAAAACCTTATGTTATATCTGCATGGTTAGGACCTGATCCCAGCAGACCGCCCTGTCGAAAAGCCAAAGATATACGTAGAGAACGAAAGGAGGCCAAACTTGCTAAACTTGCTCAAGAAGCATTGACCAGAGGTGAGTCTCCAATGGAAACTAAACAGTGCAAGATGCCTAACACTCAAAAAGTCCTGGAAGATTTTATTAGTGAGCCTCTGCCTGAAAACCCTGCACATACTCTTGAGGTATGTTCATATGACAGTTTATGTAACTTACTTATGTATTAAATATTTACTTTCTTGCTGAAATATACTTGTATTTTAATTTATCATACAGATTATTTTACAGTAATTAGGGACCTGTCTGCTATAATTTTTCTTCCAATTTTAATGTTTATCTAAATTCTTGAATGAGTAAGGCAAAAGATTTATCAGGGAAATTAAGTAACACAGAGCAGATAGATGTCTATTTCAGCCTCTCTCTGTTGCAGTTCAGAGAGATAATGTCTTTTGTGTTTTAGGTGTGCATCTCTTCCCCAAGAAGCTGAATAAGTATAGTAGGGCCCTGCTTTATGGCGTTTCGCCTTGTGGTATTCCGCTAATATGAGCATTTCAAATTATGACTAAAACCTCACTATATGGCTCTCCCCACCTGACTCTCTAATATGGTCACTGCGCGTCACCTGGTTTGTTTACATCTGTGAGCTCCATGTCTCTCCATTATGTCGGGAAACTTTTCAAAATTTCAAGTGTTTTAAAGTTATTGCCTATTTTATGTGTGCTCTGATAATTATACTTGTGTATCTGTACCGAAATGAACTTACACACTGTGCTGGCATGCAGGTACACATTAAAATCACTAAGACTGTCTCACTAGTCTTGACGCCATATTAATAATAATAGTAAAACAGTGGAACCTTGACTTACGAGTTTAATGTGTTCTGTGACCTAGCTCGTAACTAAATTTACTCATATATCAAATAAATTTTCCTCGTTTAAATTAACTGAAATGCCATTAATCCATCCCAGTGCAGGACAGAATATTTCAATATAATGCTATCAACACTATGGCTTGTTTATCTATCACAATTCATCTAATATGACATAATAAACAGTATAATTAACAGAGAAACATGTTATACATATACTCTAGAATAAATAAAACTGGCCATAATATGATGAGTGATGATGGCGGTGGAAGTGGCAGCAGCGTCTGCGTTTCTTCCCTTTTCTATCGCTTAATGGCTTAACTAACTTGTTAAACTCTTAATGCTACACTTTATCACTGAACTTAACTGATACAATTAGTTTTGTTTGAGTGCTGAACTTAACTGATGCAATTTCCTTTAATTCCATGGAAATCATCCTCTTTTTCTTCTCAGCACTGTCTTTTGCACTTATTTTCTTAAGACCCATGGTTAGTAAAAAGAAATTTGGCCAAATGATTGTAAAAAAATACAAGCAAGCATGAGAAAACTGCTCCCACGGTGATGTAAACATGTGGACTCCTTACCGGATGTTTTGCCATCTTCTGCACCAACTAGGGGCAGCATTCTGAATTATTATTATGTATTATGTACATATGTATGTATGAAGTAGACAGCAACTGCCCAGGGAGGTATTACTGTCCTGCCAAGTGAGTGTAAAACGAATGCCTGTAATTGTTTTACATGATGGTAGGAGTGCTGGTGTCCATTTTTCTGTCTCATAAACATGCAAGGTTTCAGGAATGTCTTGCTAGTTCTACTTACACTTAGGTCACACTACACATACATGTACAAGCATATATATACACACCCCTCTGGGTTTTCTTCTATTTTCTTACTAGTTCTTGTTCTTGTTTATTTCCTCTTACCTCCATGTGGAAGTGGAACAGAATTCTTCCTCCGTAAGCCATGCGTGTTGTAAGAGGCAACTAAAATGCCAGGAGCAAGGGGCTAGTAACCCCTTCTCCTGTATATATTGCTAAATGTTCAATAACAACACTGTGCTAGCCGATTTGAACCCATGTTGTACTGGCCTGCCTCATGGTAAGCGAGAACCACATGACGCTTTAAACCACAGGACCACCCAACCCTACTGTGGTTTAAAGCGTTATGTGGTTCTCACTTACCATGAGGCAGGCCAGTACAACATGGGTTTGAATCCTTGGCTAGCGCAGTGTTGTTATTGATCAATGCCACTCATTCGTGGTTACAATAATATATTACTAAATGTAAAAGGAGAAACTTTTGTTTTTCCTTTTGGGACACCCCACCTTGGTGGGATGTGGCCGGTGTGCTGAAAGAAGATGCATGTATGCAATATTATTATTATAATTATTATTATTTTTTTTCTTCAACAAATTGGCAGAATCCCACTGAGGCAGGGTGGTCCAAAAAGAAAAATGAAAGTTTCTCTTTTTAAATTTAGTAATTTATACAAGAGAAGGGGTTACCAGCCCCTTGTCCCTGGCACCCTAGTCGCCTCTTACAACACGCATGGCTTACGGAGGAAGAATTCTGTTCCACTTCCTCATGGAGACAAGAGGAAATAAACAAGAACAAGAACTAGAAAGAAAATAGAAGAAAACTCAGAGGGGTGTGTATATATATGCTTGTACATGTATGTGTAGTGTGACCTAAGTGTAAGTAGAAGTAGTAAGACACCTGAATTTTGAACTTTGCACTAAATTGGCCAAATTACCAATTTCCAATCACTTTATTTTGTAATTGAAAAAGCTTAGTTGGCGATTTCTTGTGCTCAATCGATAGAATAGAAGTAATACTAGTGAAATAGCTAAGAATTTGATCGACTGGAATAAGGTAATTGGCCTAAAATGGGAGTCAAAGTCGGCAAAATTGCCGATATGTAAATATCGCTGGCACATCAAAATTCGCGAGAGCATAATTTTGTCAGTTTTCCATCAAATTTCGTACTTTTTGTTTTATTACCTTCAGAAAAAGATTCTCTACCATTTCATAAAAAAATAACAATTATTTTTTGAAAATTCTTGGACACTGGTGCGCACTTTGAAATTTGGCCTCTGGACCCTGAAAGGGTTAATCAAGCTATGCTTATCGAGATGGCTTCTTATAATATCAGCTATAATTGACTTCAGTAATGGCTTCTTATAATATCAGCTATAATTGACTTCAGTAATTTGCCTACAATTGAGGTTAGGCTTATTGGGCGGTAATTTGATGGTAACGACTTGTCCCCTGCTTTAAAAACAGGAACCACATTAGCCATCTTCCACATATCAGACACTACACCTGTTTGAAGAGAAATGTTAAAAATATTAGTCAATGGTTCACAAAGTTCCATTTTACTCTCTTTAAGAACCCTTGAAAAAAGTTCATCAGGGCCCGGGGATTTATTTTGCTTTAATCGGTCTATCTGTTTTATAACCATTTTACTAGTGACTATGATATTGCATAATTTATCATAAAAATTAATTACTGGGATATTGTTAGTGTCTTCCTGAGTGAAAACCGAGAGAAAATAATTATTAAGAATAGAGCACATTTCATTCTCCTTGTCAGTAAGATGCCCAGAGTTATTTTTAAGAGAACCTATCTTATCTCTAACTTTTGTTCTGTAAACCTGGAAAAAACTTTGTGGGTTAGTTTTCGAATCCCTAGCAACTTTAATTTCATAGTCCCGTTTAGCTTTTCTTATCCCCTTTTTAACGTCCCTCTTTATGTCAATGTACAGTGGACCCCCGGTTCCCGATGTTACCGGTATCCGATAAATTCGGTTCCCGATGCATTTGATCGAAAAAATTTTGCCTCCCTTCCCGATACAAAACCCGGTATGCGATACGATTCGTACGAGACGTGTCCACTTGTGGCCTGAACTCCCCCGTGTGTACCAGTGTTTACAAGCCAGCCAGTGTGCGCGCATCTAAGGATACATTCGGTACATTCCATATTATCCATATTATCACTGTTTTTAGTGCTTGTTTCTGCAAAATAAGTCACCATGGGCCCCAAGAAAGCTCCTAGTGCCAACCCTTCGAGACCAAGGGTGCTAATGACTGTTGAAACGAAGAAAGAGATAATTGCAAAGTACGAAAGTGGTGTGTGTGTCGGAACTGGTCAGGTTGTATAGTAAACCCCAATCAACCATCTCTACTATAGTGAGCAGGAAAACGGCAATCAAGGAAGCTGTTCTTGCAAAAGGTGCAACTGTGATTACGAAACAGCGACCGCAAGTGTTAGAAAATGTTGAGAGACTGTTATTGGTGTGGATAAATGAAAAACAGATAGCAGGAGATAGCATCTCTCAAGCGATCATTTGTGAAAAGGGTGATGAAAATCACCCTCACACAGCTATTGCAAGCCATGCTGGTGACTATTACACTGACTGTGTTGTGAAACACTTTAGGAAAGTCATAAAGGAACGAGAGGTACAGGCCTCTATGGACAGATACGTTGTGCGACAGAAGTCCAGTGACTCTCAAGCTGGTCCTAGTGGCATTAAAAGAAGAAGGGAAGTAACCCCAGAAAAGGACTTGCTACTTCAAGTCCTAATGGAAGGGGATTCCCATTCTAAACACTAAGACCATCCACACACTCCCCTCCTCCCATCCCATCAATCATCACCAGATCTTCAATAAAGGTAAGTGTCATGTAACTGTGCATGTCTTCTTCAGTTTGTGTGTATTAAAATTAATATTTCATGTGGTAAAAATTTTTTTTTTCATACTTTTGGGTGTCTTGCAAAGATTAATTTGATTTCCATTATTTCTTATGGGGAAAATTGATTCGCTTTCCGATAATTTTGGTTTACGATGAGCTCTCAGGAACGGATTAATATCGTGAACCGGGGGTCCACTGTACTGATTCATAAGATGACCCTCGCCTCTTTTGATGCGCCTATAAATTCCTTTTTTTCTGTCCTAAAAGATATTTGAGCCTATTATTCATTCATTTTGGGTCATTTTCTATTCGATCTAATTTCCTTATATGGGATAAATGTCCTTTGGGCAGCATGTATTGCGTTAAGACAGCTGGCATACTGATAGCTTTCTTCGTTACCCCAGTCCACAGATGATAAGTGTTCTCTGAGCCCATTGTAATCTGCTAAGCGAAAATCTGGGACCATTACTGAATTATCCCTACTATCATACTTCCATTCAATGCTAAAGATAATTGATTTGTGATCACTTGTGTTGAGTTCCTCTGTAATTTCTAAATTATTGACAAGGGTTTTCTTGTTTGCCAAAACCAAATCAAGGAGGTTATTTCCCCTTGTAGGCTCTG